CACACGCATTATATGTCCACATTCCGGCACCCGATTACTGGCTTAATCGTCACTGATGGCCTCAGTCACCCGAATTATGTTCAGGCGGTGGCCACCAGAGCTGAGGACTACAATGTCCACATGATGGACTTGGCCAGGAAGGATGCAGGTAATTATAACCTGAGAATAGAGATAGTGGAGGGGATAGAAGGGGACACATGGTTAAGGCACGCTTATTCTTCAACATGAGGACATTGCAGAAGTGCCTGACGGACTTCCCCCTCGTTGTCCCTTTTAAACGGGAACAGGAACAGCCAAGCGTGAATGAGATACTGTCTCGCTGTCTAAAGCATATGGCTGACCAGCTCCGGCAACTCGGGGAAAAAAAAAGCACACAGGCAAAGGCGGCTTTCTCCCAGTGTGGAAGGCATTCCAGCTGGAGCTTGCGCTGGAGGAGGCATTATGCAGGCACCCCTTGTCCAACATGGACAGACAGTACTCTGCATCACTGGGAACTAGCTCGCTGCACGAGTTCAGTGCAACCAACATGAGGGGCTTCATGGGCCTGGGTGCAGCAACTGGTGCAGCTATTGACGACTGCCCACCTCCTCTGGCACACTGGGCAAGGGACACACTCCAGATGAAAAGAATCGAGAGGCTATTTGCTCTCACATTGAGTCTCGAGTGCGAGCCTTCCATGCTGGGACCTGAACTTGTAAAGCTTCTGCTGAAAGACCTCTTCAGGAGGAACAACGGCATCTTCATGTCAGAGCTGCAAGGGGAAAAATGCCCAGAGAATCTCAAGGGACACATTAACCTGGCTGTACTGACGGAGAACCTGGCCACCAGAGACTCCTTCCCGACCCCATTCACCTTTGCCCGGGCAAGGAAGCTTGTTGAAGGTGAAGGCAAGAATGTACAAGAATGCCTGAGAGCAGGATTCCTCGAGCTGAAGATCAGGTGGTTCCCGGACATCAAGTACCGTCACGGTACCGTCACCGTTCCCTTTATGTCACATAAAGGGAACAAGGAGGGCTTCTTGGAACTTGATGGATTATGTAAAGATACATAATGACAACAGGGAGCCTTCCATTGAGTCCCAGGCCATTGCCATAGTGGGAGATGTGGCCATGGAGCGCCATGGACTGTGCTACGCCAGGACCCTTGAAAGGTACAGAGAGCATGGAATGCCATGGCTGCCCCAAGTGATGAATAGGATTCCGAGGAAGACTGAAAAGCACACGTGGAACAAGGTCTTAGTGCTGGTCAGCTCAGTGGGACTTATGAATAAGGATTTTGTGTCCTATGAGAAACTGAAGGACCTACTCCTGAAGCTGACACAGGCAGAGCTCCAAAAGTACAGGATCCTTTCGACATCAGTTTGTGAAAAAGTTTTCGGCTTCACTCTCTCTAAGCTCCACTATGAGATCCTTTGAATGGGGAAGATCTGAAAACTGCTGTTCACAAACGCTGTCCATCTAATCAGACTGAGCTGGAGCTGTTTTGCAAAGAAGAATGGGCAAGGATTTCAGTCTCTAGATGTGCAAAGATGTGGCAGCTGTAATTGCAGCAAAAGGTGGTTGTACAAAGTATTGACTCAGGGGGCTAAATAATTACGCACACCGCACACTTTTCAGTTATTTATTTGTAAAAAATGTTTGGAATCATGTATGATTTTCGTTCCACTTCTCACGT